CCGCTGGGGAGACCTAGATGGGAGGATAATATCAGGCGGGATCTATCGGAGATAGGAGTTGAAGGAGACTGGATTTTGTTGGCCCAGGACAGGGACCAGTGGACGGATTTGGTCAATTCGGTGATGAACCTTCAGGTTTGGTACGCCATCTAATTAGTTAGTGAAGTATCTGTATGTCCAGAAGTTTGTCCTCATCATATCATTCCCACCTTATTATGGTTTATCCTCTTTAAGCTGACTGGGTTCTTATGACTAAGACATGACTGGAGAAATTTAAGGCACACAAAACCAGTCGAGAGGGTTTCTATCTTTTCTGTGACACCTGCAGTAGCTACTGATGGACTGGGCTTCTTATTGCTGTCAGGATAATGAAAAACAGAGTGAGACTGATAATTGAATTATCTGACACCAAATTCATAAGATTTTACTCTGCAACCCTTATATGCCGATGGCATAGCAGGACAGCATATAAATTCATCTGACAGGCTGGCCATCTATTAGGAGTTATGTACTAATTGTGTTAAGAAACATAATTTGATTCAGTTGTTTTTGTTACTTACACGACAGAGGAGAGTATGGACGTCGATCCAAACTATGACCCATCGGACTTCCTACTGCACGGTCTGCCCCAGCAGAGAGCTGCACAACTAGCGGGACAGGTCTCAGTTCACGACAAGATACACGATGACCTTGAAGTCAGCGAGTCTGATGACGAGATACGTACAGTTACTGCAAGCATTAGTGAACCTGTAAAACGAGAGGCAGATGAAGAGGATGATGGTGGAGACCTCTGGTTCTAAGACTGATTCAGTGTTTGTTACATTTTATTTTAGCATTATCTTGTACATAACAGATTTATAATTATAATTTGTGGAATAAATAGTAGTATAATAAACGTACTATCAATTAATCACAATTAATTGGAAGAGGAGTTGAATTTTTAAAACAAGCACATCAGGTTATACATAAAATAATTATACTGTGGGATAATGTATTATCAAAGTAGGCAAGGCGGAACCAAGCACCTGCCATTACAACGGAAGTTACGTTCTCATGAACAGGGAGGATATGGCAACCAACCATTTCTACAAGTGAGTTCTCAATCATATGTTGCTTATTTTGATAACACCTTTAGACTTATCACGGTTCCCTTTTTTAAAAACTATTGTGGTACACTAAAATACATATTAAAAATTACTGGAACCATGATCTATCACATTTAGGAACAGTCACATTGCATTCTAATTAGAAACTTGCTTAAAATGAAGCTATATAACAGTGACATGAACAAATTACAGTATTTTGGCACTTTGCACTAATATTATGTGGATGGAAAATCTAATGTTCCTTCCCCCACCCCTTGATTCTAATGCTTCATGACAGACGAGATATTTTTAAAAGCAGTCTTGCACCATTAGTCTTATGGTCAACAAATCTGTTTGCACCTTGAAAATTCTTGTTGGTCCAATAACATTTTCCAATCTGCTTTGTATTATCTTGACTCATGAGTGCTGCATTCTTGAAATGATTGCATACAGAAAAATTTGCAAATGAGTAATATAATGGAATTTGATAAAAATATATGTATTTTTTAATGAGTTATCCTTTACTCTGCAGCTTTTACACTTCCATTTAAATGGCTAAAAATCATACGTTTTCCTTTTTGGAGGCAGGAGTACACAGAAAATACAAAAGAGAAGATTCTAAACTTTGTGACATGCCGGCAGTAAAACCAAGGAGTGGTCTGAGGCATGCCGTGATGTAGTTCACGTGGGTCAGACGCTGAAAAGCTATACGGAGTAAACAAAGACGCACCGCAAAGAAATTTTGTGACAAAATACACTTTGGAGTTGAACCACAAATAAGTGAAACCATAATAATGAATTAACAAATATTTAAAGTGACTGGACACAAAACTTTTACCCCCAAGGTATTTTCTGATATAAGGCTGACCACTCACCTCTAGTGCTGATATTAGGAGTGTATGTGTGGGGAGTTATACCTCCATTACCCCATACATCTTTGTGGCAAGGTGCTTAATGAAGCACAGGGACACCTTTACTTTCTGGATTGGAGCTTATTTACTTTGTTATATTAATTGGATATGTTACTAACTAGAAACTATAAGAGTGAAAGCTTAGCTACTTTTTTTTTTTTTAAACAAACAAACAAACAACTGATTTGTCGATAAAATTAGTTGATTTAAAAGTCAGAATAAAGTTTTGCACATCACCATATGCTATATCCCATTTTAGGTCCTCCACTTTCATTACTGTTAAAAATGTACTTAGTCTCAATATTAATGTAGTGCCTTGCACATTCACCAGCCAGTTAATGCTCTCAGAGGAGCATTTTCTGCTTCCTAAAATGTGCACTTCACTATCTTTGATGTGCTCTGGATAGGCCTAAAATGGAACCTGTCAGATGAGAATTATACTCTAATCATACAAGGCAGCTTGGGGTCATGTTAGATTGTACACTAATGAGTTGGCAGTGACTGGCAGAAAACATTCACAACGGAAGTCACTTTGGAAAGGGATTTTACATGATAGAGATCAAGGCTGTGCCAAAAGATCAGATGATATGTGACGGATTGCTCCACGGTGAACTTTCATAACTAGATGAAACAGAAGATTCCAAATTTGATTCATTACTGGAAAGTTTACAGAGGATCAAATATTTCTCAGTACTTGCAAACAAATTTATAGAGCTTTTTCTCATTTGAATATTATCATACACAGGTTCTTTTAATTAATTAACATCTCAGAACCGGGTTGATTTAAGTATCAGTCGTTATAATCTTGTTAATGTAAAGAATCTCCAAACACTGTTATAAATATAGTTATACCAATATATTTTAAAAATAATTATGTGCAAGAAGTAACCAGGAATGTTGACAACCCTGATATGTGCAGTGTGTGTGAGATTGGCATGGTTACACACATTGCATATGGATAAAAGCCTTCATTTGTACAATGGTGATAATACATACTATCATTTATTTTTCCTCTCCTTAGTATGAATCTATATTTCTCCTGTTTCTGGTCTGGTAGAAGTTTACTGACATTTCAAAGGTGTTTCCTGCCTCTATCAGGCCCTGACAATGGAGGCAGTGTGAATGTCAGTAAACTTCTACCAGACTACATGGTGTAACATCGCAGAAGACAGCCATCTTGCATCGTAAGAACCTGAAATTTCACTGACCAATAGAACATCAAAGTGTAACTTTACAAGAATACTTCAAATCAATATTTATAAATGGAGCAGAGATGGAGATTCTTACAAGATAAATACGAAGATTTTACACAATCAGCTGGCATTATCCCACCATGGACTAGAATAATCTACACATCCATACATCAAGTCAGAGGTGAAGCCTCGATGAAGGGCTGAGGTCCTGATAATGTCACAACGACAATGACAATTTATCACGTTTTATAAAGCTTTGATGAGAATAAATTTATAAGTCTTGGTTTTTCCAGCTTAAACCCCACTTCAAACCAATCTGTAATTTAATAATACAGGCAGGTTAATTATAATTCCTATATGTATATCTGTAACGGAGAAACGTGTGCAAAGGACAGAGGCCCAGTGTAAGACATCGTATATATCTTCCTAAAATATTTATTACTTTCAAAGTTTTCTAATAGTGTAATAATATTATATCAAGTGTTTGAATGATGGGATGAACATGAAGAAAGTGTCTTAATTCAGCGTTTCCACACAAGTACAACAAAGAAGTATGAAATGAACCAAGGCCCCAAAAATGCAGACTTTTTATTCTGGATGTCTAAGTATTTTCCTGGGGATACCCTGCGGGTGACTCAACATTTTCCACTTTGGGATAGCCCATATTAAAACAGGAAAACTATATCACAATATACACCCTACAGTTATTTTCATTCTTATCTCTGCTACGCTATGCTCAGTGCTGTGAAAATGTTGATTAACAATTTTATAGTGAAGTGTTTGTAATCTTTTCAGTAATGCACCTATCATATTTTAATTATAACACATTAATATGCATCCTTCAAATATTTCTTCACATCTGACCCTGACATAAACACAGACTATGAATCTGAGTTTCTTAATTCAACATTCATAAACAAAAACACCACTAATGACGAAATGTTAAGTACAGTACTAAACAAGTACAATAAATTACAGCAGCAATAGAATATACTAGCACCATTAGAATAATCTTCTGTGGGAGCCATCCTGAAAGATGCATTTACAATTCAAACAGAAGCATAAGACACTGGATAGCTTCACATTGTTCCACTTCTTGTGACATGACTATTGTCGTCAAGGTAAGTTTGAATATACCACCTCAGATTTTTCTTGAATAGTAATACAGAACTTTATCCAAAATTTCTAATCACAGAAAGTAACATAAACCCACCATGAACTGAAAGAAAGTCCTGCTGCCCTGTGATTCCCAATTAATGACCACTGACTAATGTGTACAAAGCATGAATGCAATGATAATTGGCTGAGGAATATAAATATTAGCAGAAAAACCTGCCTTCATTCAATTTTGTTATATCACAAACCTTATGAGCACAACTTTGTAATTGAACTAAGACTGTCACAGTGATCAAGTAATGTCTAACTGCTGGACCTATTACATGACAAGACATTGATTGCAAAGTAATACAATACAAATCACACAAGGGTCAACAACTAAAATGAGAGAACATTACTTCTTTCTTTGGTCTCCTGCTTCTATAGGGAAGTTCATTCAATGGACAAACTTTTTCATATTATCCTTAACAGAGTTATCAATAAAACTACCACCTCTAATCATTTTCCCATTTCTCATCTCATTTCACAAACTACATCAGATACAATGAATTCCACTCACCCAAAGCAAATGACCCAATTACCAAAGTAACATAACCTCAAAACTTACTGCATCCTTAAATAGTGTTGACTTACACTAACATTACCAAACATACAACTGCCTTGTGCTTATAAAAACTGGGAATTAAATATCAAACTATGTTGTCTTATACCGACATTGTGACCTTCAAAGCCATCTCATTTAGAGTCTTGTGAATTTTTAAGGCTGTAATTTCAGAAAGTGTCCTATGTTCAACAACACTACTTGAATCAGGTATTGTAATACTGCAAGAAAGTGGCACATATCATTATACCACTCTACGAACACCTATTACAAGAGACAGCGAGCAGATTTTGTATCCTTATAACACCAAGATACATTAATTTTTTTATATAATTTTCATTAAATATTTTGGGTTAAGATTTGTTGGCTGTTATTTCATAAAGATGTACTGACTGCATAACTTATGTAGTGCTGATTGAGGAATGCCAGAATAATTGTAAGTGATAAATCAAGTGGTACATAGGACAAAGTGGTTAATGTTTATTTTATGGCACTACCCTGAAATTCACCTATAGGAGTTACAGAAAATTATAATACCTCAGGTTAGTTATCTTCTACAGGGATTTGTGTCAGGTATCTCTTGCATGTGCCACAGTGTTGAATATTTTGCACAATCAGAACTTAAAAATTCACTAGGTCACTACCTGCTGTCAAGAAGCTCCTAGTCTTGTGAAGTACTGGTTCAGTTCAAAGAAATAACATTACAAGATAAAGATACACAGAAAAAAACACATCAGTAGCTGTGGAGAGCCACACAGATTCTTTGGCAACATAATTTAAACCTCCATGTCATAATTATTAAGTAGCTTTGCTACATGTCACAAAAAGTATGATTAAACTTTACAGTCTGAAGTTGTTTTGAGGTGGGGTGACTGTATCAGCAATTAAACTGCATCTGGCAGATTATAGCATACAAAATTATGAGCTCATTATGCATGTTATGCATCAGGAAGTTATGTGAACAATGTAAACTGTAACCAACAGTCTTAATAAATTTCAATGTCAAGCCATGCATCTATCCTCACTCTAGAACTCTTGCTTCCTATAAATAATTTATGTGAAAAATAAGGTAATGGACATAACGGATTCCAATCCTGTCAGACCATGGATATTTTCCTGCAGTGTTATGCATTATCATAATGACAAATGACATGCCACATGATAAGCTGATGATCTACCATCCGTTGAGTCCTACTACCACTTATTTAGATTCAGATTATTCTGTATCAGAACAAGCCAGTAGGCCCAAATCCAAGAAAATAAGACAATTAACAGGAAGGAGGAGAATCAGAAGAGGAGGCAGAGTTTGAACAGGCATCATGGTTACATGGGGTTTATGTGATTCTCATAATAAACAGGGATTATTTCCTCAACAGCATTAACCAACTGATCTTTGTAATGGAGAAGTGTTGTTTTGTTTGCAGTACGACTGAATAGACGAGCTACAGCTTCATAGTGTTAAGTAATGATCAATCACACAGAATAAAAAATGATGTTGCCCAAATCTGAAATTAAAACAATAAGATAAAATTTACCAAACTGTGTATGATAAAGTGAAAAACTAATAATGCTCCTATCACCAACTGAACCTTGTGGAGTCATGTATAGAAGCAGTCATTTCACCAAAAGGAATTGCTATGGCTCTGTTTGCATAAAAAAGCCAACACCCACTTAAAAATACTGCTGGTAGCTTAATGACTAATCTTGAAGATGATGCACACTTCCAGAAAGATTGTCTGCAGTGATTACCTCCCAAACATTAAACATTTCAGGTTAAACAACGAGAGATGAAAGTATGAGTAACACAGTCCCTTGTTCTGAACAGATAACCCCACCTCTCAAAAAACATAAAAGTAATACAGGCCCAAGTATTACTAGTTACATTTCACTAATTGCATATATTACAACTGCAATGTGTCCTGAACAGACTGGGTCAAATCAGAACATTTTCAGAAAAGACAGAAACAGAGTCACTTGAACCATCGCTACTGAAACCATGTGCATTAGGAACTAAAGTCTCAATTTAAGTCTTCGAAGGATTCACATATGCAAAATATGGCAGGAATATCTCTCTGAATGAGCATGCTTTAACGTACATTTCAGGTATGAAAATCGATACTTCAAACCACTGCTGGTATCATTTCTTGCCTCTATCTCCAGAAAGTAGCCACAATCCAAAATGACATATATCAGAATAATCAAAATGATGATGGCACATTAACCAACTTTCTAATGCCACTATAATATATCCTGGCACTAAATGGGTTAAATACCATGTGCTGGCTTTGAACCACACCATATTTCAATTTTGTGGTCTGCCTCAATCCATTCAGCAATGTTCTCTGTTGTCAATAAATTTGAAACATCCTGTATATTAAAACAAACATTACATATATAAAGCTTTGTGCTGTTTAAGTCTCTGCAGTTTCATATGTACATTTAGAAGGTAAATTATTATTAAGTACAGTAATATATATATATATTACTCTAACATAAAGTTTTGGTTATTTACATATGTGTATTATATACAAAACACAATTTTTGCTTTTCAATATTACGTACTTTAAGTCTCTATTTCGTGACAATGTTAACTACTTAAATTGTAGTCAGTTTGTAAATTTGTTACAAAATTACCAAAATGGCCCAATTATACATGCAATGCATTTTATTTATAAGGTTGTAAAATTAATTGTCACCTTATAATTGCCCCTTATTAAAATATTATGACACTGCTCTTCGGCCACGTTTCCGAAGACGGAGCATGGTCACCACATATTCAAGACTGCCCTATAATTGGGCCAATATGATAAATAAATATGCCATATTATAACTGAACCTTCCAGATGCAGTACTTTCAAGGCAAAAAATGTTAAAAGCAACAGAAAATATTATAATAGCAAACAAAATGTACACTACTAACAATTACTGGTTTTATAAACAAAGAACATATAGACAAATACACAGAAACAGTTTCTTTTGTTCTTGTTAGTTTGTGCAACCTTTCCTTGGAATCCCCCTCTATATTAATCCACAATCTAGGAAATACATTACAATTGAGCATGACCGTCTACTGTGCATGGTTTTACTCATATGACCATTATATATTATTACAATGATTCACGGTATGTCAAATGGTAATTGTTACTGATGTATCAATCTAATAACCCAGAAACCAGACCAATCACATTTAAACTTTAAGTTGTCAGATTCTTTTCACATGTTTCATGACAAAAATGTGCCTACTGATCATAGGAAAATGATACAGGCCAAAAACACCCAATTTTTTTAGCGTAGGTCCCCAGTACAAGCAACTGTAGACTGACAGACAGCATCTTTTATTTGTATCTGCATATATCAGATGTTTAGTGACTAAGAAAATTTAACATCATGAATTGTGGTCAGAGTTTGAGTCTAAGATAGTACTCTTTAAAATATACTTCTAAGCTACTGGTCTATATTTCAAAAGAACATTTAAAATCTATTTTAAAATACAGTTCTTATTTAATCTTTTATAAATCTGAATGAAAATCAATCAAAGTTAGATATAAAAAACAATCTAACTTTCCCAACATGGGAGAACCCATGAGATGAATTTCCTCTATACTTCATGATGAGGGATAAAAATTGGGGAAGTATGTTCCACCAAAAAATTAGTATCTACCTAAAAGTCAACACAGTATTACTAACCAGGAGACCAACATGTACAAGAATGAATTTTTCAAACCCCTTCTATCACCACACAGAAATTTGTTTGTATAATGATCAGATAAATAAAACTTGCACTGTAGATATGTGGATGAACACCATACAGCCTCACACTCTACAATCTAGTAGGCCATTACTATAACAACTCAAACCCAAGAATGAAATATGACTGATAATATTTGCATTGATGGTTTCATGTCTGGGCTGAGCCGTACGTCCCTGCTGGTGGGCGATATGGCTTTGGTAACGTAAGTAGCTGAAGACTATTGAATGCATATTTGCGGACACCAGTGTTCTTATAAGTGTTCTCCCTACGGCACCCCTCGCTGGAACAGAACAATTCACAGTGCACAATGTTCTACATGTTAACCATAACATCTAGTGTATAGGAAATGTACATCCTAAATATTAGGTTGACATAGTTACATTTATTTTTCAAGTTCTGGTTTAATATGCTAACAGTTGCATGAACAATACAGACATCTCAAAGACATTCTCATTTTCTGTCAATATAATGGAATATATCAATGGTTCTCACCCCCTCCTGATTCATGGACATATGGAGGGGGGAAAACAACCAGTACTGGATTTTCTGAGGATTGACAAGAAACTGAGCTCAAATTGTACTGTACAAATAGTCAGCAAATCTAATTAATATGAGCATATTTAAACATGTTTATTTACAATCTAAAAATAAATGTTTTCAAGCAATGCTTTCTCTGCGGCAGTATGGCACTTCTCTTTAAAAAAATATACATATATATAAATTAATGTTAAACTATGTTGAGATTTTTTAGCATAACCTCAAAGTTACACCACTTTTATCTTAAGAAAACTGCCTTCATGTGGTATTCAAGTCAAAGAAATGTAATAATCATCCACACTGACATTAACAATTATAAATAATGCATGAGGGCATATAAGATATTTTCAGTGGTCACAAACTATCAATCAATACATAATAATAGAAACTGTGACTTACCTAGCAATGCTATGAAACAAATTGTAATAATGCATGACATAAATTAATTAGTTGTTAAAGGAAAATGCTGTGGAAAAATTAGGCCTATATATAATATAATATTAACCAGAACTTAGGACCAAAGAAAGCTACAGAGTAATTACCACTCCTTTGTATTTGGATGGCCTGGGTTCAACTCTCAGCCCAAAACCTAGTTTCTCTGACTGTAGTTCATCATGGTTTTCCTCACTCCAACCAGGCAAATGCTGGAATATTACCCTAAAATAGGTAACTCCTTCCTTCCATATCCTTTCCAACTTGTTATTCATGAATTATACCATCAATTGGCACTTTATAACATCAACTATTAATTGCACTGTTAAATAAATTATAAATAAAATAAATGAGTTATGGCAGCACACAACACAAAATAATGTTTTAAATGATAATATAATTTTGAATTTGTAATTTCTTACCTGTAATTTTAGCATTTTAACTGTAAATCAAATATTAATAGTATGAGGGTTGTTCAAATGAAACCAGTTTGTGGCACTACTAGTAAAATACGTCTGGTTGCAGGTGATAATGTGTCTCTTTGCATGGCACACCAGCACTGGCCATGATGTTCACAGGTTAATTAGGGCAAACAGAAATAATGTGTTATGGTTAAATTCTAGGTTTCAGGGTGCAGAATCTCTCAAAACAGAATGTTTTCTTTCATACGAATGCTCCGCCAACTGCCGACATTCAAGGACCCTGACGTGCCATCAAAACACAGCACTTTTATGGAACCCTTGAAGATCTTTGAACTGTCATTAGAAGAAAACATCTTAGTATGATAACGAAGAGTGTCATTGCACTGCATGACAATGTCCATCCTGATGTGATGTGCACTACCCAAAACAAACCGGAAGGTGCTGTATCATCCTTCAAACAGCCTAGACCTGTTACTATGTGATTTTCATGTTGTCAGCTCATCAAGAGGGCTGTGGATTCACATCAGACAAGTATGTCAGGACCAGGGCCATAGTGGCACAGTTGCCCTCACACAGCCCAGGAACTTCTTTATGGAGGGGTTCCATTGGCTGGTGTATCAAAGGGATGCCTATCTCGATTTCCATGGAGATCATTTATAATGACCTCCACATTTTTGCCCAGAATAATGCTCAAAAGGGTTTCATTTATACAAACCTCACAGTTAATGTTGGAAAACAATATCAAACATATGTAAAATCCATTTAATAACTCATAAAGGTTGTAAACTGCATCTAATATCAAAAATCAAATTATGCAAAGATCCAATTATAATACAAGTGTTTAAAAATGTAACCTAACCAAACAATTTATCCTTAAGTTAGGTTAAGTTAGACAGTGTTTACTGCCAATTGTTACATATAATACAGTGATAATACTACACTATAAATTAAAAAACAAATAATAAAGCACATCAGTATCCAGTTTTCTCCAGTCACTTCATTCCTCTGTGGTACAAATATTCACCTCAGCACTCTGTACTCAGACATCCTTCATCTGTGTTGTTCCATTAATGTGATAGACCAAGTTTCACATCCATAGAAAATAACAGGTACATTTATAGTTTTGTATGTTTTATTTTTGTTTTTTTTATAGCAGATGGGAAGACAAATATCTACAATCTCAACTCTGAATAAATTAAAGCATTAAAATTTGCTTCCACTACACAGGATCTCACCTTCTCATGCAGTCAAGAGGTCGCTGAATCTCGTGTTCTGACAGGCCGTACTCTGCTACCAAGACATGACACTGCTCCAAAGTCACAGACATCCCAGTTCTGTCTTTGGCACTTTTGCAGCTTGTAAACCGAAGACCTACAGAATCAGTAAACAAAATGTAAAAAAAAACATTTATGAGCTGCAGCCATAACACACCTACATTCTCGACTGACTTTCAACCACAGTGAAATAAAATATTCTTCTCAGGGAACTGCCGTAATTCCTCCTCCGAACACCCACTACTCCACTGTACACACTCTTCTAAGCTAAACAGCTGTCTTGGGGCTGCAAGACTTGAAGCCACAATCAGTTTGTCTAGCATCTGTGGTAAAATGGGCACAGTTTTCTACGTCTTTCTCACTCATTTAATTTCTTCCATTCACAAAAAATAAAATGAGCTAGTTATTCA